CGAGAGATGGCCCAAGCTACTGACTCTCCAGTCGTCCCGCAAGCACATTCAGACCCATCGACCCTCTGTTCGATGAATGTGTTCGAGTCCTTAGAGGAGCTAGAGGTGGAGTGGTCTAGATTAGACCCGCTAGCTTCTTGGACGGCCTTAGTCAAAGCTCCTAAGGGTGAGATGTTCGTCAGCGAGGTTGTTATTGGAGGCCGCAAGGTCGGGCCCTATTATGACACTTGCTCGACACGGAACTTTATTAGTCGCGCGTGCGTTGAGAGACTGCGCTTACAGGGGCGAGTGCAGCGCCTGAGTCGACCTGTGGAGTCGACCTGTGCCAACAAACAGCGCATGGTAGTTAACGACTACCTCCAGGATGTAGAGTGTAGTTTCCCGTGCGAGGGAGGGGACTTGAGGCATCGTGTCTCGTTCCTAGTAAGCGATGAACTCCCCATGGACATGTTGTTAGGTATGTACTACCTCTCTGTGGCACAGCCCCAGTTTGACTGGGACCGAACAGTGGTCAAACACACTCTGCCAGGTGGAGGGACCGCCAGATTACATAAGTTCGAAGCTAGTAGTCTGATTGAGTCCTACGGGTGCATGTGTGCGGCCGCGTTCTATAATTATTATAAGCAAAATCAGGAGGAGGGTATGTACTTAGTTTATGTCTCTGCTGCAGGCGAGGCGGTGAAAATGCCGCCAGAGATAGAGGGAGTAGTTGCCAAGTACCCGGATCTATTTGAGGAGCCTACAGGGGTTGTTGAGAGGGAGGTCGTTCACGCGATAGAGATTATCCCAGGGTCTAGTATTCCAAAGGGTAGGATCTATCGGATGTCTCCAGGCGAGCTTGATGAGCTTCGCCGCCAACTCAAGGAACTCATGGAGAAGGGTTGGATCCGGTCGAGTGTCTCTCCTTACGGATCTCCAGTACTGTTCGTACCTAAGAAGGAGGACACTCTCAGGATGTGCATTGACTATAGGGGCCTCAATGCCATCACTGTGAAGAACAGAGAGCCCCTACCGAGCATCGATGATCTGTTAGATAGAGTGCAAGGGTGTCGGTACTTCAGTAAAATAGATCTGAAGTCCGGGTACCATCAAATTGCAATCCGGCCCGAGGATCAACACAAAACCGCATTTCAGACCAGGTACGGTCTGTACGAGTTTGTGGTGATGCCTTTTGGCCTTTGCAATGCTCCTGGCACCTTTCAGCACGCTATGAATCGGATATTCCATGACTACTTGGATAAGTTTGTCGTCGTGTACCTCGATGACATACTTATTTTTAGTAAGACTATCGAGGAGCACGTAGCACACTTAGACAAAGTTCTCAGTCTCCTGCGACAGCACAAGTTCAAGATCAACGGTGAAAAGTGTGAGTTTGGCCACACCCGTATCTTGTACTTGGGTTATGAGATCTCCGCGGAAGGGTTGAAGCCCGATGACGCGAAGGTGGCCAGCATTCGTGATTGGCCACGACCTCAGTCTGTGACTGAAATGAGATCTTTCTTAGGAATGACAGGCTACTACCGGACTTTTGTAAAGAACTATAGCATTGTGGCCGCTCCTTTGACTGATCTAACCCGCCTTGACACCCCTTGGGAGTGGACCGATGAGTGCGAGGCTGCTTTCAGACATCTGAAGCATGCATTGACGCACTATGAAGTCTTGAAGCTACCCGATCCTGATAAGCCATTTATAGTAACCACGGATGCTAGCCAATATGGCATTGGCGCCGTGCTTGCGCAGCAGGAGGGGCCAAAGTTGAGGCCAGTTGAGTACATGTTTAAGAAAATGCCGTCTCAGAAATTGGCTAAGTCCACTTATGAGAAGGAACTCTATGCGGTGTACAAGGCTCTCACCCATTGGAGACACTATCTCCTTGGGAGGTTCTTCATCCTCAGAACTGATCATCAGACCCTGAAATGGATGAGAACCCAGCCGGTGCTCTCTGACGCTCTCAAGCGTTGGATCGAAGTTATTGAGCAACATGACTTTGACCCTCAGTATCTAAAAGGGGAGTATAACAAGGTTGTTGACGCCCTGTCGCGCAAACCAGACTTCTCAGGTGCGCTGATTACTGAGTTCAGTCTCACGGACAATGTTACTCAATCCTTGGTGGAAGCCTATCGCGAGGACCAGTTTATGTCTAAGATCATACGCAGACTTGAGGCGAAGGACAAGAAAACGTCCGCCGAGTTTGAGTTGGTTAATGGCTTGCTGTTCCTTGAGAAGGCAGGGAATAAACGATTGTGTGTTCCCAATAGTGAGTCTTTGCGTAGTTTGTTTCTAGGTGAGTGTCATGATGCCACCGGTCATTTCGGGTATAAGAAGACCGCAGCCA